ATTCTTGGCAGTAGGTATGAGTCCTTTTTGGTTATAGTGTTAAGAGTTCTAAAGTCCACACAGCAACGTCGGGTCCCATTGTTCTTCTGGACTAACACAGCAGGAGCTGACCAGGGACTATCTGATTTCTCGACTATCCCTTCTTTAATTAAGCCATCCATGACCTTCTCCATCTCTTGTTGCTTTGTTGAAGCTATTCTCCCCGGAGGGATCTTTATTGGACGGTGATTGCCTGTTTTATTCTGTGCTCTACAAGGTTTGTGAAACCGAAGTCATGATCTCCTTTCGAAAAGACGTCTGCATAATTTGCCAAAAGTTTTTTTACCTGACGAGCCTGTGATGATGCCAAATGGACTATGCTATTCTTATAGAGGTCAGTTAAATGTTCTGGAAGTGTATGTCCTTTTCTTTACAGTTGTATTTCTTGCTTTAACATTGACTGGTCCCCACAACCTTGCATAATGTTCTGTCACACCACAGAGCTTCTGTACAGCTTCTGGTACTCCTTTGTGATTCAGTACCTTGATACTCACAAGGGTTTGCTGAGATGCAGAATCTATGACAAAGTCGCACCTTTGGCCATCCAGCTTCCCTGTCACCTAGACACTATGTGTGCTTGCCATTTTACACTTAGCTGTTGGGACTTTCACGATTGGGGTTAGTAGGTGTCCATCAACATGAACCACTACTGGTTTCCTTAAGGCTGAATTATTGATAATATTCTTCTTGCACTGGCTCCTCATGTGTCCTTGCTCTCCACAGTTTCAACAACCTTTCTGGGTAGCAGCCTTTCCTGCCATGGCATCTTCCCTGTGTTGAAGTTGCCAGCATTGAGCTTTCTTGTGCCCAGGTTTATTACAGTACCAGCAAAGTTCCTCAAACTTCTTTGAAAGCTGCCCTTTTCTGGCCTTGAATTCTGATGACTGTACCAACCTTGGCATCTATGTGCTGGACTTAACGTAGGATTCAAATTCGAGAGCTCTGGCCATTGCATCCTGCATAGTAGACTGGTGTGCTTGCTTTACTTGTATCTTCAGTTGTGGACTGTTCAAGGCATCTACAAACTGATCCCTCAGCAACAACTTGAGGACATCGGGTGGTGCAGTTGGGTGGGCCTTGTGTGCCATACTTTCCAAATTTTGTGCCAGCTCTTGCAGGCTCTCTTCTTTAGCACGCTTTAGCACGGACTCTAGTCCTAAATTTAGCCCTGTAGACTTCAGACTGATTTTGAGTTCCATACCTGAGTTCTAGAGCAGCTACCAGTGGTCTATAGTTGTGTCTTTCGTAGATTTTGCGTCTCAGCACACATAGTGTCTACGTGACAGGAAAGCTGGATGTCCAAAAGTGTAACTTTGTCATAGATTCTGCATCTCAGCAAACCTTTGTGAGTATCAAGGTACTGGATCGCAAAGGAGTAGGAGAAGCTGTACAGAAGCTCTGTGGTGTGACAGGACATTATGCAAGGTTGTGGGGACCAGTGTGGGTAACTATTGAGCTCATGGGCATGAAGAACAGACAGAAAGTATACTTGGCTGACATTGAAGACCAATGCATATTAGGATTGGACTATTTACTACCGAGAAAGTGTGTAGTTAACTTCGATAAAATGACGTTTGGAAACAACAAAGGCCAGATTCCAGTAAGTGTTGCTGCATCCGTTGATCTGCATGTCCCAGCACTTAAGTAAACTACAATACCCCCTATGTCAGAGAAGATAATTTGGGGTAGGATAAAAGAACATCCCTAAGGATGCCCAATGCTTGTGGAAGCAGTGGAAGACCCATTCAGGCCAGCGGCTTTGAAGATTGGAAGGTTACTTGTGGCAGGTCATCAAGCATTACCTATAACAGTGGCCAATTTTTCTAAATGTGAGCAGACATTTAAGGAAGGGGCATTGTTGGGTGTGTGCCAGGAGGTAGAGCCAGTCAATGTTAAAGAAAGAAATACAAGTGTAAAGAAAGGACATACAAAGGACATACATAAAAAGAGCATAGTCCGTTTGGCATCATCACAGGCTCGTCAGGTAA